GAGTGAGAGATCATGGATAAAGTGGACCAAGGGAAAAGCTACTAAGTGCTAGGTTGAAAGGGTCAACGTCCGGGGTTCGTTTTCATGCAAGCGACAATAGAAAATAAAAAAAATCGTCTCCACATGGAATCGAACCATGGGCCAATGATTCATGCTTTTTTGGCGTTCTTTTAGCCGCACAGGGAAAAACGAAGCAATGTTCCATTCCATGCACCTGAACCTATATAATGCAAAAAACCGTTTCGAAAAGGCCGTTCACGACATTTAAGCCCTTCCTAGTTGGCGCTATTCCAGAACTTCCTTGACGTTTGGCGAAAAGTACCTCGAATCGGCGAATGATTTACTCGTCATGTTTTGAAAACTGGTTTCTACGCAAATTGCACATGCTCATGTGTCCAGCTGTCAAATCGACCAACTTGAAGAGGCCGAACTCGTTTGGCGGTGAGATTGGAGGATCGTCCACATACTCTCTCTCCTGTGAAGCTGTTAATTTCCTTCAGAGTGCAGGGACCCTATCACTGTACCGGACATTGGGTTAGAATTGCGTTTCCTAACGCTCCTTGAATTCCCGGGCTCATTTCCATAGTTTTGAACGCACCACTCAAAAACAACTGACTCATGAGTTCAAAGTTCTGGGTGCTGAAATATGTAGACCTCACGTAGCACAGCGCTTAAAAATGCATCAGAGGCAAGGATCGAGATAGAACTGTTGTGCTTGTCCCACTCAAATATGAAGGTAGGGACGCGAAAAGGACTGCAAGTGGAGAAAAAAGGGAAAAATGGTCAAAGCAGTAAAAACGAGCCTTCGTGCTCTACGCTGCGGAGAAGTTCAAAAGGCCGGCAGGGAGATGAGAGATAATGTGAGCGCGGAGAGCGCTAGGGGAAGTCCGAGTAGAGAGAGCATAGCAGATCAACAGTGTGACGGAGACAAATACCGAGTGGATGGACCCGGCTAGTGGGATTTGATCAGCGCCTAGCGTGTTATGGTACTGACGCCCTTCGATATGCGAAGTTGACGCGAACTCTGCAGTGGCGGACCACACACCTCCAACCACGGGAGCGACCGCTTCAATGAGCCGAACCCTCCTTCAAAGGCACTGCTCAGGATTAGGCGACAAAAGAAAACGGCTCTGTCAATAACATGACCGGGTCTGCAACCATAGAGGTGATGCAGTCTCGTGACTCGAAACCGCGCGGCTATAACAACCCTGGCCTAGGACGACGTGAGCTATGACCGCCCACCGCCGGAAGTGGTGCGTGGCTGGCATAACGCGTGAAATCAGCTGGGTTGATTGCCGTATCAGCTGATTTCGGAGCCAGCAATGGTTGGCATGTCCGAAAACTCGTTCGGACATGCATTCCTCCTAAGCCAACCTCCTTCGCCGCTGTTGGGAGAGAGGTTTCATTTTCGGTCTTGTCGACGGCTTCTTCCCGTTTTTTCTTCACTGGCGTTCCATTTCGCATCTCTGCACTCACTTTCAAGCGCCAAAATACCCCAACTCGATCCCGACCCGTGCCTTTAAATAGGCGAGAATATGATCTGGCCGGTTCATTAGAACATTCACGTTTGGAGTGATATTGGATCATGGAAGGAATTCCTATCGAAGTCATTACGGTCACCATAGTTCAGAATGCCAGTCTATGACTATTTATGCGTATAATCTGAGCAAAAGGTACAAAAATCCATACTGCGGTGGTCACTGTACTCCAATGGGTCCAAATTTAGTGCACAAATGAACAGTTAATATGAAACTGTAGCATTATCGTACCAGAGACTCGAATGGTGAAATCTCCTGCTGCAATGAGAAAGAAAAATGTGAAAAGAGAAATAATACTATACATTTTTATTACTACAAATGCCACGACAAATTATGCCATCCATAAGGTGAACGATTATTCTGGGGCATGCACGCCAAACATGGTCTAGTTAATGAGTAGCACTACAAGGCGGAAAGAAGTTGGTGTCAGCATTCGAAGCACCTTTCTGGCGATCGCATCGCACTGGTATTTCTGTCGGAAGCGGCGATACCTCACACAAGTTTGCATATCAACATAATCGAATATAGTTCATACGTCGCTGAGATCACAGAATGGATGTAGTCTACCAAATAGTCGGTACTATGGAGTCCTTGATTTGCAGCAAACTTTTCATAGGCACTTGTTCCAAGGCATCCAGACTGTGGAAGTTTATAGCGTCATGAAGAAGTCGCGTCGCATGGCCGGTACAGGATCTAACCAGGACTAGTCAACTTTCCGTATGCCCGAAATCTGTCAATCGACCAGATACTGATGATTAGCACGGGCTCCGGTCAGCCCTCGCAGTTTACACAAAGGCAAAATTCGAATTCAAATAATGGTGGAATGGGCGCTCATGTTGTTAGCGGGGAAAATAAGGTGTGAGCCATTTACCTAACTTGGGACTGTCTTAGTGAGGGGAAGGGATTTTGAAGGAGGTAAGCAGCCATCACTGTTCTCTCTGACGTTTCTCAATTCTCTTAGACTTATCATTAATCCTATATCACCCACCACTGGTTTCAAATGCCCTGTTTTGTAAGTACTCCCTAAGGACATGATCGCCAGTGATATGTCGAAATAAGACCGTCTCAGTGCATGATCAGGGTGTGGGTTTGGTTACTCAACTACGAAGCGAGAACATAAATACATCGAATTGATCAAGGTTTGAGGTCATAGAACGAAACCAAATGTTAAAAACGTTAATGGATCAAAAATTGAATGCTAATGCAAATGAACGTAGCTTTACAAACCTTGTTCTTGTGAGCTGATACGGCAGCGTAGCGTACGGTACCACGGAAACCAGCCGCGCTTCGTGGACTTCTGATCTCGCCCTTGGCGTTCAAGTACTGCCTGGCCAGACCAAAATCCAGCATGAACACCTTTCGCATTGTTGCCGTGCTTCGTCCCATCGCGAAGTTCGACTGCAAAATGAAAAATTTCGGCAGCAGCAGCAACAGAGGGATATCCCTCATCCAGAGGGATATTCCGCTTCAATCTCTGACGACATCGAAACCGTTTTTCTTTCCCTTAAAGCCCATTTCTCTGTCGCCGTCATAAATCTTGGAAAGCAATACCTCATTCTCATTTTTGGCCATTAATAAATGGTCTGAGGCGCCGTTTATGCACCTGGCTTCGATGACGTGAGGTTCCAAAGTGCTTTCAATAGGGAGGCGAACCGATGATATAAAGCACCTTTTCATATTAAAGAGACTGCTATGTTCCCAAGGACTTCTTAGAATTCAAAATGAATACATATCTGAACAGGGGCGTTGGGAAATTTCCAGATGCTCACACATT